AAATAGATCCAAAGTACAGGATAGTTGAACACTTACGTGTCATGAGTGTTATGGTCTGTGACCTTATAGTTGGAGGGCATGACATAAGAGATCAGGAACAGGTTCTGAATGTGATTTGTTCACTTCTAGATGAACCTGAATATTGAAAAAATTTTAAGCTCTTGATAATTCGTAGTGAACACATCAATACTTTCTCCAAAATTGTTAGACATATTAAGATAGAGGTTGAGCGTCAAAAGGTGTTTAATCCTTCTAATGTGGCATTTGTTGCACATGAGGCCAAACCTAAGGGAAATAAGCATAATCGTGCCAAACAATTTAAGAAAGGTTGGCACCCCTATCAAGCCAATGGACCTAAAGATAGTGTGGCTAAACAACGTAAGGCTAAGGGCTATATAGAGAAAAATATAACGTCTATAAAGTGCTACAATTACGCTAACAATGGTCACTTCGCTCGTGATTGTTCTAAGCTGAAGAAGGTATATTTCTCTATTTTGTCTCTTGATTTATTTGTTTGTTCTCATTCATTAGTTGCTATTTCTTTTCCTAATTAGATTGTAGACATGGGAGCAAGCAAACATGTAGATTCAAGATCGAGCTGGATTCATAGACTACCATCATGTTTCAGTGGGTTCGTAAACTGTTGTATTGGGCAACGACAGTAAAAAAACGTTCTTGGAATTGGAACATACCAGCTTAAGCTACGTGGAGGAAATATTTACTCCTTCATGATACTCTCTATGCACTCGGGGTGCGATGTTATTTACTTTTAGTTGTTTTCTTGTTAAGATTGAGATTTTCTTTTAACTTTAAGTCTAGTACTTTAGACATTTTATATCATGGCGATGTATTTGGCTATGAGTCTTTAAGAAATAATTTTTTTGTTCTTGACTTGGATGATAATATGTATAATAATTTTATGTTTGCTTATGTTTTTCACTTTCATTGTGATTCTGAATCTATTAACTAGTATGCGAGACTTGGTCGTATTGGCCAAGGCTGAATGAATAAAGTGGTTAAGTTGCTTAAATATGAGTCATGTTTAGCTAGTAAAGTGATTAAGGAGCCTTTTAGTAAGATTTCAAGGGCGTCAAGTCTCTTAAAATAATCTATTCTAATATTTATAGGCCTTTAAATATCAAAACATGTCATGGTATCGTATACTTTCTTACTTTGTAAATGACTATTCACGATATAGGTATGTGTATCTAATATCTCACCATTATGAAGCACTAGATATGTTCAAACATTTTGTAACGAAAGTGAAAAATTAAATGGATCAAAGAGTAAAGACTCTTCGAACCGATTGTTGTGGTGAATATCTTTCTAATATGTTTAAAAAATATTGTGAGAAAAAATATATACGTAGACAACTTACAATTTCTCATACTCTACAACAAAATGGTGTTGTAGAGTAAAAGAATCGTACATTAATAGACATGATTAGATCGATGATGACACATACCAACCTCGCTAATAATTTACGGTAACCTATATCCTCAACCGTATACCAAATAAATGTGCACCTGTCACTCCATATAAGTTATGAAATGGTAAGAAACCCAGTTTGGATCATTTGCGTCCTTGGGGGCTGGCAAGCTATGTGCATAACCCAACCCAATAGCATAGAAAACTAGGTCCAATAACAACTAAGATGGTCTTCATCAGGTATCTCGAACATTCAAAAGGATATGTAACATTTGGAGAACACCCGAATGGTGGCATGACCGAAATTAACTCCTACAATGTTGATATTCTTGAGGATGAGTTCCTAAAAATTGGTTATGTAGTACTCGGGTCCAGAATTTGGCCCGGGATTAATTTTAAAATTTTTTTAAAATATAAAAATATAATTTTAAAATTCATAATTTTTATTTAATGTAAAAATTAGAAAAAAAATAGGTTGAGGATGAAATTAAAAATAATTTTGAAAAAAAGTGGTAAAAATTTGGGTTCGAATGATATTTTTTAAAAAAAATCAGAAAGTGGAGGTCAAAACGCAATTAAAGAAAATTGTACCACGTAGGACTGCCCAGTAAGTAGTCCTGACGAATCGGAGCATGCCGCGTGGTAAGGCACGTTGATTCGATGCCACACAGGAGGCCACGCTGGCAATCCACGTGCCTGTGATCGGACGGGCCGAATGCGTTCCCGTGCACGTGGACAATCCGGATATGTTCCCGCACGCGTGGATGATCCAGATCCGTTCCCTCCTCAGGAACGATATGATGATCGAGATCAAACGCGATAAACTGTTTGGATTTAAGGGAGAGGGGTATAAATATCTCGCATCACACTGACCCAAACCCTAGCTGCCAGCCTCTAGTTGGAGAAGAAGAATTAGTCGCCGGAGAAGGGAGCCGCCCGCCGCCAGCCATCGCGCTGGAGCCACCTCTGACCGCCAAAAAAGGTAAAAATTCTCCTATCTGCTTGGAATTTGATTTCGAACACCCCATGGCCAAACTGGGGCAAAAGAAATAACGGATGAGCCGAAAATCATAGGCAAAGCCGAGTGGCGCCACCGCGGGAAAAATTCGAAACTGCCTCCGATGAACCCCTTCCCGTTTTCATTTCATGCAATTTTTTCACAATTGTGTTCATCGTTCTGTTTTCTACAGGTTGACTGAAAAAAAATGCACAGCCGCAAAGGTAAGCTAGTGGAGCCGCCGCACCGAAAAATTCCACTGCAAGTAGGTTTTTGTTTTTCGACTTTTTTGGGTAAATTGAGGCCCTCTAACGTGTTTTCTCGCAGAGATGAGTATAAAATTGACTAAAACCGGCCAGAACTGGCCAAAAAGGCCAGTCTGAGGCAAACCACTACTGCAGGCAACCGAAATTCTAAAATTGGCCAGAAAAAGTTTTTAACACTGATTTTTGGTTTTTTGTAGTATTTTTAGGTACGTGAAACGTATTTTAATCTCTGCATAAAAATTCAGGAAATCCAGAAACTGCTAGTATTCAGTAGAAATAATGGAACAGATGAAATGTAGAAAGAAATTTTGGGTTTGAACTTAATTTAGTCAAATAAATATTTTTGTATGATGTTAAAATAAAGTAATTGATATTTTTAATATAACATCATAAACTCATATGCTCTGAAATGTTGTGGTAAAGTTTTTAATATTATAATAAAATAATCAAAAAATGGAAAAGAAAATGCGACTAATTAGAACTATCAGGGAGCCGCCATAAATATATCCCTAGAGCCCAAAACTGGGAGCGGTTAGCTGCTTTTACTTCAGTCCGCTGCTCCGCTGGTGTTGCCTTGTAGATTACTGAAGTTCCAAACCGAACTGGAACTGGGTTACAGCAGAGGACTCGAAGAAGAAGATGGTGAAGCTTACCGCCGATTTGATTTGGAAATGCCCTCATTTCTTCAATGCCATTAAAGAGCGTGAATTGGATCTTCGAGGTGCTTTATCTTCCATTTGTAACAGCAACCCTATCTTTTTCTCGCATTATCTAACCCTAGTTTTCCTCCATTACTCTCTCTAATCTTAGTTCTCTTTCCTTCTCATGCTTTTCCTTACCTGTTTGGTTTGCAGGCAATAAGATCGCTGTAATTGAAAACTTGGGCGCTACTGAGGTGCTTATTGTTTAAACTATCCTTTTATAATTTATGTTGATACATGAAACAGAAGTAGCAGTCAAGTAACTATAGCTTCCTCTGTTAGAATATTTTGCTTTTGCTTTTTTTTTTCCCCCAATTATTGTGGTTCTCCTGTGTGTCGATGGCTGCCCGACTCCCCGCAAGTGGCTAATGCCGCAAGTTTTGTTGGTTGCCATTCATGACAGGACTGCCATTTCATTCATCAGTGTGATATAACTATTTGCCGTGAACTGCGTACATATGTTGATGGGTTTTATCTTGCATCACGGTCTTCCTAGTTCCCATTGCACTCTTGTCTGGGGTGTTAACTTTTAAGTTATTCAAAATTCTGGGTCCTATTTTATGGGAGTTTGACAAATGAGGTAGGATAGAGTAAATAGGTTCACAATTGAACTTTAATCTGGAATTCATTGTAGTATAGAAAATGGAGAGTTCTAATCCTACCCTTGTCTAATTAATTGGATGAAAATATTTGCACTTATTAAAAGGGATGAGGAAACATTAGAAAAGTATGGTTGGATGGTTATAAACCCTTTCAAACCTCTGACTTTGGTGGCGTAATATTTAGGTGCTTAGAGGGGTTATAAGATTTTAACTGAAGGAGTAAATATTCTTATTTTACCCCCTTTAGGAGCCATCAGAATTTACCTTTACTCATTTTATCCAAAAGAAATAACTCTTAGCAACCTCTAACCTCTAAGATTGTTCATTAAGTTTTAATAAGCCAGTGCTTCCATAATCCTATTGTGTCTCTCATAGTAAAGTTTTTCTATTGAGATGGATGCTTTATATTTTAATTGCTATTGTAGTAATTCTGAAGTCATCTTTTGCTGGCTTGTTTGTAGGATCAATTTGATACAATTGATTTGTCTGACAACGAGATTGTCAAACTAGAAAACTTTCCTTATCTTAACCGTCTTGGTACTTTGATCATAAATAACAATCGAATTACTCGAATCAATCCCAATATTGGAGGTGAGTTCTTTCCTTACACTTGATTCAGAATCCTATAGATGTCATTCTCAAACTGAAGCCAATCATGGTGTTTTATGGTTCTTAATGCGTACATTCTTTTCTTTTTCAGAGTTTTTGCCAAAACTACACACATTAGTTCTTACGAACAACAGGCTTGTGAATTTGGTGGAGATTGATCCTCTTGTATCCCTGCCAAAGCTGCAATTCCTTAGTCTGTTGGATAATAATGTCACAAAGAAACCAAATTATCGACTTTATGTGATACACAAGCTAAAATCACTCCGAGTTCTGGATTTTAAGAAAGTGAAGGCCAAGGTTAGTTCAGTTGATATTATAATTTTTCTTTTCCTGTAGCTGTAATGTACATATCTCACTTGTAGACCTATTTTCACTTAGGCAAGACCAATTACAGTTTTAATTGAAGCTTAATGCTGAATTTCTTGTGCCGAATAAAAAAGTTTCAGCTCCTTGGAACTAAAATTTCAGTGCCCTATAAATTTACTGCTAATTTTTATTCTTTCTAGTAAATTTAGGAACTTATACCAAATTTCTTCAGCCAGTGGAACCAAAATTTGAGATTGTTTCCTACATAAATAATGACTATTTGTAGATGCAAATATAGCATTGTGCATTATTTTGGGTTTTGAAATGTGTCCTGAAAAGGGCCATATTCAATTGAAAATTCTGTTTCAAACTTGAATTACTGTATACAAAATCCAATATTTTGAAGACCATAACTTGGTGACGACAGTATTGTTTATGTTAGAAATTTTATGAGTCCTCGACCAGTTGA